ATGATGTGGGTGATGTCACAACAGAACCAAAAGAAAGAAAAAGTGTAACAGAATACTATGGAGCATTGTATTTCAACAAATTTAAAAACCAAGGAAAAAATGAACAAGTTTCTAGAAAAACATGACGTACCTAGACTAACACAAGCTGAAGCAAAAAACTTGGGGGCATATACAAAGAGAAGAAATTGATCAAGTCATTAAAAAATTTCCAACTCAAACAAGTGTAGAGCCAGATGGCTTTACTGGTAAATTCTACCAAACATACAGAGAAGAGCTGATATCAATCCTAATCAAACTACTCCATAATACAGAAAAGAATGGAAAACTTCCAAATTCATTTTATTAAGAAAGCATCCCTCCATTCCCCCCCAAAAAATATGACCAAGTGGGATTCATACTAGGTATGCAGGAATGGTTCAGTATTACAAAATTCATGTAATCTACCACATAAATAAGACAAAGGGGGGGAATCACATGATCATATCAATTGATACAGAAAAGGCATTTGATAAAATCCAACACTCATTCCGGATAAAAACAGCCAATAAAGCAGGCGTACAAGGCAAATCCAACATAATTAAGGAGCTCTGGTAGTATAGTGGTTACGAATCGGGCTGCGAACCTTAAGGCCAGCAGTTTCAAACTACCAGCCGTTCCGTGGGAGAAAGATGAGGCTTTCTGCTCCCGTAAAGATTTACAGCCTCAGAAACCTTGTACAGGGTCGCTGTGGGTCGGAACCGACTCAAATGCACTTAACAACAACAACATACAAAACCAACATCACTTTCAACAGTGAAAAAGTAAAGTTCTTCCTCTTGCAAACAAGAATCAAATAAGGATGCTCTGTCACCACTTCTATTCAATACTGTGCTGAAAGTCTTAGCCAGAGCTATAAGACAAGATAGGGAAATTAAAGGCATCCAAATTGGCAAAGAAGTAAAACTCTACTTGCAGACAATATGATACTTAGAAAATTCCAAAGATTCCACAAGAAAATTATCAGAACTCATCAACAGATTTGGCAGAGTATAAAAGTCAGTTTGATTCCTTTACACAACAGAGCTCTGCTGAGGACATCAGGAAAATAATACCATTTACAATAGCCACCCAAAAGATAAAATGCTTGGGAATGAATCTAAACAGAGAAAACAACGGCCTATACAAAGAAAATTTCCTAGTGCAGTGCTGTAGGATCAACACTCAACTATGAACCACAAGGTCAGCAGTTCAAACCCACCAGCTGCTCCTTAGAAACGCTATATAAGGTCACGATGAGTTTAAACTGACTCGATGGCATTTAACAACAAAAACAAGAGCAACAAAGCAAAAAAAACCTGCAGACATAGAGGAATATAACCTGCTCTGGATAGGAAGACTTAAAATTGTGAAAATGTCAACACTACCCAAAGCAATCTATAGACATAATGCCATCCCAATCCAGATTCCAACATCATTCTTTAAAAAGATGGAAAAACTAATCTATATATATATATATGAAAGAGACCCCAGATGGGCAACGCATTATTAAAAAAGAACAAAGTAGGAGGCCTCTCATTTCCCAATCTCAAAACTTACTACACAGCCAAAGTAGTCAAAACACCTTCGTACTGATAAAACGAAAGACACATAGATCAATGGAACAGAATTGAAAGCATCAATGAAAACAAAGGGACACACTTAGGGGCTCTGATGCATGGAATAAATATATTAGCAAACACACAAACAGAAGACAAAAGAGATGACTGGGACCTCCTAAAAATGATACACTTATGCACATCAAAGGATTTCACCAAAATAGCAAAAAAAAAAAAAAAAGACTGGGAAAGATGTTTGGCAAGCCGGATGAGAAAAAGGACTACTTTCCAAAATTTACAGAACATTTTAACATCTCAACAATAATCCAATAAAAAAATGGACAGAGAACAAGAACAGAAACTTCACCAAAGAATACATTTAGACAGCCAACAAATGTATGAAGAAATGCTCACAATCATTAGAGATGCAAATCAAAGTAACAATTAGATTATTATCTTACTCCACCATTAAGAGCAAAGTTCAGAAAAACAGAAAACAACAAACGCTGGCAAGAGTGTGGAGACTGGGACCCTACACTGCTGGTGGGATTGTAAAATGGTGCCATCACTGTGGAAAACGGTATGGTGCGTTCTCAAAAGTTGGAATAGAAATACCATATGACCCAGCTATTCCTCTACTTGGTAAAGATCCTCGAGAAATAAGAGCTATGACACGAGTAGATCTATGCACACCCATGTTCACTGCAACACTAGTCACAATATCACAAACATGGAAGCAGCCTAAATATGCTGATCAACACAAGAAATGGTTAAACAAACTGTGGTACACACAATGGAAAACTACACAATGCTGAAGACTAACAAAGAATCTGCAAAACAACTCACAACATGGATGAACCTGGAGGACATTACGCTGAGTGAAATTAGTCAATAACAAAAAGACAAATACGGCATGAGACAACTGCTGTAAAAAAATTAAAGACTTTATAGCTAAATGAAACATTCTATGATGGATACAGGGTGGACAGGCTGGAAGGGAAAAAACTAAAGTGCATGCTGGTGGTGGTGGTGGTTATGTGTCACGGCTTCGACTCATACTCACCCTGCATAGGGTTTCTGAGGCTGTGCGTCTTTATGGGAGAAGAAAGCCTCATCTTTCTACCTCGGAATGGCTGATAGTTTCAAACGACTGACCTTGAGATTAGCAGCCTGACTTGAACCACTATGCTACCAGAGCTCAAGTGAATAGAGGTTAAAAAGGCTCTGAAACTTGCTCTTGAACATTTTTGTTAAGTGCCATTGAGTCACTTCTGAGTCACAGCGACCCTGCAGAGGGTTTCCAATGAGCAGTTGTTGAGTTTGAACTGCCAACCTTGTGGTTCAAACCAACCCTGCAGTCCAGTTTTATTCCTTAGCACCACACTAGGACTCTGAAAGTAGAGTAGCAAAAACGAATAGAAGAAATGATGAAGCAAAAGAGGTAAACACAAAATTTCAAAGAATAGCTTAAAAAAAAGATCTATAGTCAGAAAACCAAAAAAAGAAAGAACATGGTCAGCATTTCTCAAGTTGAAATTACTGAAATAAAAAGAAGTGTCAAAAGAAAATGGAATACAGTCACTGTACCAAGAAAAATTAGTTGATGTTCAACCATTTCAGGAAGTAGTATATGATCAAGAATCAATCATACTGAAGTCCAAGCTGCACTAAGGGAATCGGTAACAAACAAGGCTCTGGGAATTGAGGGAATACCAACTGAAATGTGTCAATAAACTGATGCAGCACTGCAGACGATCACTCATCTACACCAAGGAATCTGGCCAACTGACCGGAAGAGATCCATATCTGTGCCCATGTCAAGGAAAAGAGACCTTACAGAATGAAGAAATTATTGAACAATATCATAAATATCACACGCAAGTAAAATTTTGCTTAAGATAATTAAAAAATGGGTGCAGCAGTACATTGATAAGACACTGCCAGAAATTCAAGCCAGATTCAGAAGAGGGTATGGAACAAGGGATATCATTGCTGATGTCAGATGAATCTTGGCTGAAAGCAGACAATACCAGAAAGATGTTTACTTGTGCTTTATGGACTATGAAAAGGTTTTCGAATGTGTGGATCATGACAAACTATGGATGAAATTGCCAAGAACAGGAATTCCAAAACGTGTAATAATGCTCACGAATTACCTGTACATACACGAAGAGGTAGTTGTTCAAACAGAACAAGGGGATACTGGGTGGTGTAAACTCAGGAAAGCTGTATGTGTGCATCAGGGCTGTATCCCTTCACCACACTTAATCTGTATGTGGAGCAAATGACCCAGGAAGCTAGACCATATGAAGAAGAACATGGCATCAGGATTGGAGGAAGGCTCATCAACAACCTTTGACATGCAGATGACATTACCTGGCTTGCTGAAAGAGAAGAATACTTCTGGTACTTCATGATAAAAATTAAATACTATAGAGCCTTCAGCGTGGACTGCAACCCAAGAAAGCAAAAATTCTCAAAAATGGACCAATAAACATCAGGATAAAAAGAGAAAAGATTGAAGTAGTCAAGGATTTCATTTCACTTGGCTCAATTCATGGAAGCAGCAGTCAAGAAAGAAATCAAATGAAGTACTGCATTGGGCAAATCTGCTGCAAAAGATTCAAAGTGTTACACAGAACCCAAGCCAGGATATTTTCAATTGCCTCATATACAGAGTCCTGCTGGGCAGAGACTAAGGAAGTGAGAAGAAGTGATGCATATGAACTATGGTGTTGGCTAGGAATACTGAAAATACAATGGACTAAAAACAAACAAATCTGTCCTGGAAGCAAGGCTAGTGAAACTTTGTCTCATGCACTTTGGTCATGCTGTCAAGATGGACCAGTCCCAGCAGGGCATCATGCTTGGTAGAGATTAGATGAGAAAGACAGTCCCGTAAGAGATGGGCTGACTCAAAGGCTACAAAAACGAGCCCAAACACAGCAATGATGGGAAGGATGGAGCAGGACTGGGGAGTGTTTTGTTCTGTTGTACATAAGGTTACTAAGACTTGTAGTGGACTCAAAGCCACCTAACAACAAGTGCAAAATCTCAAATACAGAGGTGGTATTGGGACAAGGATTCAATTCTCTCAGTTCCCACTTACACAGCCTTTCCCCAGTGCCACACTACCTCTCAGGGCATACGTTAGAAGAACAGTGATATAAACATTATTCTAACAGTACAAGGTCAGACTAGGAAAGGAAAGACTGGAGGCAGAGAGACTAGTTGAAAAGGAATGGTAATAGCTAAAGCAAGTAAGCTAGGATAGATTAGTGATTCTTATGATTGTGAATAAGTTCTATCAGGCATCAGATAAAAACATTCCAACTTTCAATGACTCATTTGGTGGTACCTTAAGCTGTTAAATGGCAAACAGGAACTCTTATTCACAAAGCAGTAAGAGATAACAATAAAACTTACCTTATTACATTGTCTGATGTTAACAGCATTATGTGGGGATCCAGCATTTCACTTGGGTACCAGGCAGCATGCTTTAGAGTCAGAGAGGTAGAACTGGTGAAAAGCCTCTCAGCAATTGGAGTGGTACTAAAATAAAGACAACAATTTTCTAAAGCATTTGAGAAAACTTGAGTGAAACATTTTCTAAAACAAAATCTAAGTATACACTCTGTTCTTTAATTTCTCTTAAATGCCAGTTACGGAGATAACATTCTATTGAATCAATACCCAAAATTCAATACTGTAAAAATATTTTCTATATGAAAAAAGTATTTTATAATACTTTACCAGTGTTTTCAGACATAGTATCTTATTTGATGCTTTTAATAGCTTTATGAGAAAAGGCAAGTATATTATTCATATTTGGATCTGAGGAAATAAGATTTATAAAAGAAACTTTCTAAGGGAACTAAACCTAAAAGTTGTAGAGTAGAGCTAAACTTGAAGCTAGGTTTCTACCTTATATTCCTTTCAGTAGATCTTTTAGATTCACGTTACTGAGTTTGTTGGGGATAAAAAGGCATGAAAATAAAGCTTATATAAATTTATGAACAAACTGACACATAAATAACTGCTTAAAAAATTCTTATTTCAACATAATTGGGGATAAAAAAAAAAAGGCTTTTCAATGAGATGCAGAAAAAACAACAACGTATAACTACACTTATCTCATAAGAAGCCATAAGGATTCCCAGAGACACAATGGTTAAGCACTTGGCTGCTAACCTAACGGTTGGCAGTTTAAACCAACCAGAGGCTCTGCAAGAGAAAACACTTGGGGTTCTAATCCTGAAAAGATTGTTGTTGGTGTTAAGTGCCAAGGAATCGGTTCCAACTCATAGTGACCCTGCATAGGGTTTCCGAGGCTGTAAATCTTTACGGGTGCAGAAAGCCTCATCTTTCTCCCATGGAACAGCTGGTAGCTTCAAACTGCTGACCATGAGATTAGCAGCCCGATTCGTAACCACCTTGAAAACTCTATGGGGCAGTTCTACTCTGTCACATATAGAGTCACTATAAATGGGAATTGACTACACTGCATATAACATCTCAAACAGCCTCGGAAACCCTATGTAGGGTCACTATAAGTTGGACCTCATTCCACTGCACACCAAGAGTCCTGGTATGGTGCAACAAGATAATACACTGACTAGACTGCAAGGTTAATTTGAACCACAAGGTCAAGGATTCAAATCTTCCAGCCACTCCTTGGAAACCCTATACAGGGTCACTATGAGTTGGAACCGACTCAACAGCACTTACAGCAGCGGCATAGTAAACATATCTTAAGAACCACTGGTCTTGAACAATTCTCCGCAAGGAGTACAAATTATACAGATAAACACTAAATAGAAATATAACTTACCTACAATTCACTGTTGATTTTCCACCTTCCAATTCAGAATTTTTCCCCCATCTTTTAGGTAATTCTAATACCATAAGTCCTTTTAGTCCTATAAGTGCTACATGATGCTGTGTTGGACTCAATAGGACTTGATAGATTTCAAAGAGGGGTGGATTTATACAAAGCAATCTCTGGAAATTAAAGCAAAATGGTCAAAATACTTAATTTTAATGTAAATCTATGTAGCAGTTACTAAAAGCATACAAATGCTTCATTTTCTGACTGTAAGCTAACAAAGCATTCTGGATAATAAATACCAACACTTGGCCCATTTGCTGATGAAATATTTTAACCATTTAGATTGGAACGTTATAGAAAACATCAGGTTTTTCTACCTTGAGAAACAGAGACAACCAACTAAAATAGTCAACTACAACCTACTACTTGTCTTAACCCTCCACCATTCTCCACTTACACTTTATAATTATAAATCAGATTAAATTATATTTCTAGGAAATCAGGCTTTGTTATGCCTCTGTCTTGATTCTTCCTGGAATGTCTTCATTTTCCTTTTGTAGCTGGCTAACATGACAAGCACTGGACTGTGAACCACAAGGACAGCGGTTCGATTCCACTAGCCACTCCACAGAAGAAAGTTGAGGGTTTCTGCTCCCACAGATTTTTAAAAGTCTTGGAAACAGGGTCCCTCTGAGTCAGAACTGACTCATTGGCACTAACATGACTTACACATTCTTGCAGACTCAGCTTCCATGCACTCCCACAAGAACACAGCTCTGATGTCCAGGTCACAGCTGAGTACATCTTTTAGGTACTCCTAAGCACTGGTGTAGGAGCTCTGGTAACGTAGTGGTTACGAATCGGGCTGCAGACCGCAAGTCCAGCAGTTCGAAACTACCAGCTGCTCCACGGGAGAAAGATGAGGCGTTCTGCTCCCGTAATGGTTAACAGCCTCAGAAACCCTGTGCAGGGTCACTATGAGTCAGAACCGACTCCACGGCACACAACAACAACAACAACCATAAGCACTGGTGGTAAGGAGCTCTGGTAGCGTAGTGGTTACAACTTGGGCTGTGAATCTCAAGGTCAGTGGTTTGAAACTACCAGCTGGTCCGTGGGAGAAAGATGAGGCTTTCTGCTCCTGTAAACATTTACAGCCTCAGAAACCCTGTATACATTAATGCAGCAGACTGCAAAGCCGTTTGAACTGCAAGGTTGGTGGTTCAAGCTCACCAGTTACTCCTCAGAAACCCTATACAGGGTCGCTATGGGTCGGAACCAACTTGACAACACTTAACAAGCACACAGTGATTACGAATCGAGCTGCTAATCTCACAGTCAGCAGTTCGAAACTACCAGTTGTTCCACGGGAGAAAGATGAGGCTTTCTGCTCCCGTAAATATTTACAGCATTGGAAACCCTATACAGGGTCGCTGTGAGTCAGAACCGACTCCCCGGCACATAACAATAAGCACACTGTGTGGGAGACAGACGAGGCTGCCTGCTTCCGTTCAGATGTCCAGTCTCGGAATCTCTATGTAGGGTTTGAATCAGAACTGACTAGAAGGCGGTGGGTTTGGTTTGGTGTTTGGTACAGCACCCTGCAGGAGCCTTGGTGGTGCTGTGGGTTAAACACTGAGCTGCTAATTGTAAGGTAGGTGGTTCAAACTCACCAGTCACTGCACAGGAGAAAAGATGAGGCTGTCTGCTCCCATAGATTTACAATCTCAGAATCCCTACATAGGGACCCTTAGGAGTCCTGGTGTGGTGCTGCAGGATGATGTGCTGGATTGCAAAGTCAGTCTGAAACATAAGGTTGGTAGTTCAAACTCACCACCCGTCCTTGGAAACCCTATACAGAGTCGTTATGGGTCAGAACCAACTCAATGGCATTTAGCAATGTGTTGATCTTACTCGATGGCAGTAGGTTTATGCATATCACAAGGAGCCCTGGTAGCACAGTGGGTTAATCATTGGATGGGTAAACAGGTCAATAGTTCCAACCCACTACTTCATTTGAAGGAGAAAGATGAGGCTGTCTGCTCTCCTAAAGAATCAGAAACCCTAAGGAACTGTTGAACTCTGTCCTATGGGGTCACTAGACATTGAATCTAGTCCTTGACAAGTGGGTGGTTTGGGTAACAACGCACACAGCAGCATTATGTTATTATAGCTATCACTTGCATTCTAGATGGTCTTTTACATGTTCCACTGATGAAGAATGACCCTCAGGCAGACCTGGTGCCTTTCCTCTCCCAATCTTCGGCATGACGTTGTTAAGTGCTGGAGTCGGTTGGACTCAAGAGTATCTGGAATACTGCCCACTCGCAATATAGGGGTGGTGGTGATGTGCCGTAGAATCGCTTCCAACTCATAGTGACCCCTTATAGAGCTTCTGTTATGGGAGCAGAAAACCTCACCTTTCTCTCACAGAACAAACAGCTGGTAGTTTCGAACTGCAGACCTTGAGGTTAGAAGCGCAACTTGTAACCACTACGCTACCAGAGCCCCTTCAACACAAGGTTGTTAAGCACCGTAGAGTCCACTCTGACCCATAGCGATCCTGGATAGGGTTTCTGAGGAGCAGCTGGTGAGCTTGAACCGTTGACCCTGCAGTTCAAATGGCTTCGCAGTGCGGCGCATTAACACAGAGCCACCCCGGGACTCCAATATAGGGTTACGAGCCAGACGAATGAGGAACGATGTTTTGTTAAAAACAGCCCGATCTGATCAAGAACAGCTTTGGAAAGTAGACTTGGATAAGCAGGTGTGTGCTATTCCTCTGCACAGTCCAGGTGAAGCTAGTATTTACAGGGCATTCTGCTCAGCTGCTTCCCAGTTCTTCTGTCTTGACCCACCTGACCCCAATAACACGTGATCCCCTTAGCCGGTTTTGTTGGAAAGTTTGCTGATGAGTCCACGTCGGCCTTTCGATCCCTTCCTCCTCACAGAACTGAAGCAACCGCAGGAGCGCGAACTGGAGCGGGCTCGTTCCGCTAACGGTGCTGGGCACAGGGGCCTCGGCACACACTCTGGGCGAAGGAATGAAAAAAATAACAGGCGCTCCGAAACGCTGTGTGGCCACGCTTCTTCTTGTTGTTAAGTGCCATTTTCGTGTCGGGGCCGACTCCTAGCGACCCTGTAAAGTTTCCAAGCCTACACATCTTTCAGAAGCAGAAAGCCTATCTTTCTCTGGTGGGCTCGAACCCCAACCTATGGGTTGCAGCCCAGCAGCTTATCCGAGAGGAATAAAAAGAAGCCATAATGAGCGCCCCCCACCCAAGAACGCCGGTTTAGCCCTAGAATCGCACGCTTACGAGAAGATGAAAGATCCCGGGACTGGCCATCTGCAATACCGGTTTAACCTCACCTGATACTGAGAAAGGGAGGGTTCTTCGCCGCCGCCGAGGCTCCGAAGGCGAACGACTAAGAAGGAGCTGCCTTCCCCGTCCCACAGGAAAATCTCTCCGCCGAGGCCGAAAAGTAGGTTTCTCGTCAGCAACGATGGCGGCGAAGACAACGATGAAGAAGACAATTTCTCAGTTTCGGCGGGGCTTTTGTTTTTCAGTCCCTCCCGAAGCCGCAGAAACACGGCGTGGTTAGGAAGCCGGGTATGCCACAGCTCACCGTCGTCCACGGGATCCTCGGCAGCCGCCATCTTAGCTCGCCTCATCCCAGCTGCTCAGCGCGCCGTGAACGCAGCCAATTCGTAGCTAGCGGTCCGCGACTGCAACCAATCATCGAGCACGCGACCCGGATATACAAAGCTAAAAACTAGGAGCGGGTGCCGGAGAGACCCGCCCATTATCCAAAGGAGAACCAATCACCAGTCAAACACTTATCTGAATGCAAAAGAGACGGGATGGGTAGGTTACAGACCAAGTGTCTGTTTAGAAAACGCTTTGGTGTTACTAAAGTTTCGTAGCTGGGCGATAGCCTGAGATCTGTGTTTAATTGCCTGTTGAACACCTCCATCTGCATAAACTCAAACATTCAAAGCCTTCCCTAAAGATTCACCTCCCTTTCCTTCTATTCAGTTTGGATTTGCCTCACAAATTCAATCTGTCTCCGTGTGGAGTAGGCAGGTAAAACAACACTTCCCAGAATTCCCTTCCCTCCATCTAGAGTGGTAAACATTTGAAAACTACAACTCCCAGAATTCTGACCGCTTCGAAAAGGCTGGGCATTCGGTTGGCTAGTCTGGTAAAGAGCTGATGGCTGAGCAGTCTAAATCTTCGCACCACTTGTTGTACAAAGCAGTGAGCTCGCCGCCTTGGAAAGAGGCTTTCAGGCAGGTGAGCGTTGGGTTTGTGACTTGTTGGGCTCTATTCGCTCCTCTTAGCCATCCCCAGGCTGTTTTCCTCACGGATCTATGTGGGGCTGATGTCGAGAGCGTCTGACCCTTTAAAGTGGACCTCGGACCCAGGCCTCTGTCTGAGGTCTGTGACTTGACTACCGCCCACCGGCCTTCCGAGTGTTTCTGGCTCGCTGGGTGTGAATTACTCCGAGCCCGCCCAGTCCCAGCAAACCTTATTTTCGGATCTATATTTGAAGACTGGATATGGCCTCTCCTTAGTTCAAACCCACCAGCTGCTACTTGGAAACCCTACACAGGGTCGCTATGAGTTGGAACCGATTCTCTTAACAATAATAACAAATAATAATAATTGTTTTCGGATTTATATTTGAAGTATGGGTCTGGCCTCCCCTTAATAATAATAATAACAATAACAACAACAACAACAACACCCGTGCACCTGGCACTGAAAGAGACTTTTTTGTATAAGTTTAGCAGTTCAAACCCACCAGCCGCTCCTCGGAAACGCTATAGAGGGTTGTTATGTGTCGGAACCGACTCGACGGCACCTAACAACAACAACAACAACACCGCATATGACATAGGACTTACGTCTCTTCTAGAGAGGCTTAACTGAGTTGTACTCCCCCCGGACCTATTCTGAAGTCATCATGGTTCCCAGAGACTAACACTTCTTTACTCGCCCTAACTAGGAACGTTTTGACGGTGATCTTTCTTTGTTGTAAGAGCTGTCCTGTATTTTGTACAATGTTTAGCAACATTCCTGGTCTCTGCTCATTAGATGCTAGTTGTGACAACCAAAAATTTCTCCAGACACCCTCACCCACCCACCCCCACCCCCAGGTTGTACAGGAAGGCAGATACCACAGGCAGAGCTAGAGTAGCAAGAATTTGGAGCAACCTATGGTTCAAGCTCACCAGCCGCACCTCAGAAACACTATACAACAGGGTCACTTTGTGTCGGAACCAACTCCACAGCACTTAACAACAGCAACAACCATTAAGAAAGGTGGCATTAAAGACAGATTGTGTAATACGATCTGAAAATACATGTGGACAAAGACTAGAAACATGAAAATAGAATAATTGAAATTTTGCTTCTGCAAATTCACTTTCATGTCTTAACAACTCATCTAAATGCCGTTAAATTGCCTTTAAGACAAGATTTTAACTTAAACTTTGACATTATTGAGCTTGTTTGTATGAAGATGCTGTGTGCCCAGTTGAACATTCCTCAAGTATTTGTACAAATAATGTGTTTTATAATTTTCAGGGTTTAAATTATAATAAAGTTAAATAACTACACACACACACACACACACACAAAATAATTGCCACACATCTACCCCCCTCCCCTTCATCTTGTTCATTATTCCAAGGGATGTCTGGAACGAATGAAAAACAGCCGGGACAGGCTCCTGAGCAAGTACCGCCAGACTGGAGGCAGTATGCCAAGAGGAGCTCAGAACACCTTTCTAGTGCAAGAGGTGATGGAAGAGGAGTGGGATGCTTTGCAGTCAGTGAACAGTTGTCCGGAGGCCTTGGCTCAGGTGAGACTGGGATGTGTGTTCAGCGAGCGGGTTGCAGTAGCAAGTGTTCCTAATGTCCACTCTATACCTAATTATCTAAGTCCGTTAAACTCTCCCATCTTCAGCCTCCAATCAGGATTCTAACTGGCTCTAACCCAGGTTCTTCCACCCTTAACATTAGATTGTTCTAGACCAGTGGTTTCTAAATACTGGACTATAGACCTGATACATCATTATATCACCATCTCTTATGAAACCAAAATTGTATTCTTTCAGTCCCTGTCTTTCTCTTGGAAATTTTGTCTTAGTAGCGTAGTGGTTACGAATCGGGCTGCGAACCTCAAGGTCGGCAGTTCGAAACTACCAGTGGTCCCGCGGGAGAAAAATGAGGCAGTCTGCTCCTGTAAAGATTTACAGCCTCGGAAACCCTGTACAGTGTTGCTATGGGTCCGAATCGACAGCACTTAACAACAACATGAGTTAAGAAGCTCTCTTTTGAAAAAAGCTCTCCAACAGCTTTCTCATTCTAATCTCACCCAGTGTTGGAAACTGGGTGTGGATATCATTTACATAACACTAGGTAGGAAGTCAGGAGTTCTAGAATTCTAATCCTGGTTTTGCTATTGCCTCTTTGAGCTTTAGTTTCATATTTATAATATGGAGAAAATAATGTTGACAGCATTATAAAGATTATATAAGGAAACATGGGAAAGTGCTTTGGAAGTACTATATAATACTGATGCCTCGTTGGATGTCTTCTGTGTGTCCTACAGCATCTTAAAAACTTGCCTCTATCACAATTACTGCTTGCAATAACTGTACCCACAATAGTTTTTTTTCTACTTCAAGAGCCGGAGCTGAGGTTTACAGAGGTTAGAAATTTGCCTGTGGTCCCTTAACCATGGCAGAACCATGTATTTAACTGCTACCATATTACCATCTCCCCAAAATTTGGTGCCATTATCCTGTTACTGGGTAGTTTGATTAGTTGCGGATGGTTTTCCTGAAGGACCACACCCTCAATTTTCAGTATATTCTAGAAGGAATGGACTGATTCCCTAAGGGAAATCTGGCTTCTTTAAACCAGGCTCCAAATCTGATCACGGTGGGGCTTGGTGATTGATTAGAACTTCAGACTTCTGATGAGCTCTGCTTTCTCTTGCAGGTGGAAGAGCCAGTGGACCTGGCTGTGCTTGAGGAAATCCAACAGGAACTGATTGACCGAGGTGATTCCTGGAGTATTCCTCTGATGCAGAGTTACTCTGATGCAGGCCTTTCCTCTGAACAGGATTAGGTCTAACTCCATCTTTCTATCTTCATTCTAATATCCAGAAGGTCCCTGTTTATACTTTGAAGACTTGGCTGTTTTCTCAATGATAAAGGTCTCTAGTGTGCTAGGCCTTGTCTCTAGTGTCTCTCTAGGCCTTGTGCTAAGAACTTCTCATTCCATAATATTGTTCTCTATGACTATCCTACAAGACAGTTTAAAAAGAGAAAGTGGTGTCTAGCCCAGGTCACACAGAGTTGGAAAGAGAGTTGAGAAGCAACATCAATTATGTGAACCCGGTTCCCATGTTTATTCCCCTGTCCTACAGTAATTAGTTAATAACAGTCCTCTCACTTTGTAGGATACAGTTTAAGAACCTTCTTTCTCATCCTCAAGGCCGGTTCTCTGTGGGGCATCCATAGCAGTGTGTGGCGAGTGCATCGTTTAGCACCTTATATAATGAAGTTGTTTATTACACATATTCTTGTCTTAGCTAGTGTTAGTTTTTCTCATCCTAAAAATAAGTTTGTTATAAATAAAACAACATGTGTAGAGGACTTAGAGCAGTGCCTAGTGTGGTTAGGTTTGCAGTCAATGGACAGCTTCTGCTGGCTCCGAAAGTAAGTGCTTTGTGTCGTCATCAAGTGCCATTGAGTCAGTTACGGACTCAAAGATCCTGTATAGGTTTCCGAAGAGTGGCTGGTGAGTTTGAACTGCTGGGCTTGTGGTTCAAACCTACCTCTCGGTCCAGTGCTTTATCCTACCACACCACACCAGGACTCTGTGGTGGTGGTGGTGATGATGTGCCATGGAGTCGGTTCTGACTCATAGCAACCCTGTACAGGGTTTCCGAGGCTGTAAATCTTTATGGGAGCAGAAAGCCTCATCTTTCTCCCATGGAGCAGCTAGTAGTTTCGAACTGCTGACCTTAAGGTTCACAACCCGATTCGTAACCACTATGCTCCCAGCTAAAGTTTGAACTGTGGGCTCATCAAAGGCAGGGGGCCAGTCTTTTTTGTCTTTATCTCCCAGTGCTACCACATACTAGCTATTGTATGTTGCTGCATGAATAAGCACACTGATTCTGAACAACACGGGTCCTACCATTGGGGCACAGCAAATTTTCGACTCAGCTGATTGGGCCTGGCATGAGAACATTAAGTGCTCAGTGGTGTCAGCTTCCTCCATGTGCCTCTGGGACCCTGACATTTTATATCTTTGCCCCTGTAGCCTCTGGAGGTGTGTGTCAAAGTTGTCTCCTTGCCCCTTAGCCTCACTTCATTTCTTATGCTCACAAGGAGGGAGCAGGCAGGAGGGGAAGAGACCCAATCAGATGAGGCTAGCCTGAGAGAGCAGTAAGATCTGCCAGTTGGTTGTGTTTTTTGGACTGAATCTGTTTCTTGGATGGAGGAAACCCTTGAAGGTGAAGCTTAGCTTTGAAGACAGGGCAGTGTGGGCGAAGCCTGGTGAAAGCGGCACACGTGCCTTTTGCCTTACAGAGCAGTCCATCATCAGGGAATATGAGAAGAGCTTGCAGTTCGATGAACAGTGTCTCAGCATCATGCTGGCTGAGTGGGAAGCCAACCCCCTCATCTGTCCTGTGTGTACAAGGTAAGAATTGTTAGAACCTTTTTAGCATTATTGGTTTCCATCCCCACTCCAAGGTGAGTGGAGTTTCTCCTCTTAAGTTTGCTACTTGGAAAGGTTTGGGGGATTTGAGCCTGGTGTCCATGCAGACCCTGATGCTATGGGAGTCTCATTTTCTACCTTTAGGTACAACTTAAGAATAACAAGCGGTGTGGTCAAGTGTCCCTGTGGCTTGTACATCCCATCTCACGTGAGTGTTCCACACACATTTCGGGCCACGTCCACATATACAAGGGAACTTCAAAAGTGTGTGGAAAAAGTCCATGATCTTTTCATTTCATTTTCCATGAAGTTTTTGAAGCCCCTCCCTACCTTTTTAATTTCTTAGAGTCTTCAGGTTTGTGTGTTAGAACTGATCCTATACATCTCTTCCCAACTCCTTGCGGAGTGATGTCACGTTAGTAGTTTGCATTTGGCCACACTGAGAAGAATATTTACAGCGTGCACACTGACCATCACAACAGATCAGGGTATCTTCTGACATCCCCCCAGAGCATTTGTTAGACATATATTACTATCCCACTGCTGAAGATCTTTATAGAGACCCCACTTTAGAATTAGAAACACATGTATCTAATCTCCCATTAAAGAAGATTACAGTACATGACGACATACCTAGATTCAGAGGTTAAGGAAGGTCCAGTGATTTTTGAAGTATAGTGGAAGACCAGACATGAGAGAGACTGAAAGTTTGCCTTTTAATTCAACAGTTGATTAAAGTAGCAAATTATAAAAATGAAACATTTTATAGTAAGTTTGTTAAGTGTTCTCTAGTCAGTTCCCACTCATAGCAAGCCTGTATAGGGTTTCCGAGGAGTGGCTGGTGAGTTTCTAGGAGTCTTTGAGCAAGAAGAATCTGCTGACTGTAGATATGAGTCATCTTTTTTACGTAGGTCAGTCTGTCAAACTTAGTCTGAGGTTCCAGCTTTACTGCTATAAACTAGATCAAGAAGCTGAGTGCATAGCTTTAAGATTTTTCCTTCCTGTCTTTTCTCTAATTCAGTAGCTTTAAAAAAATTTTATTAGCAAATCATTTTTTAATGTACATATCAGGAAAACAAAAACGATTTTCATATAGCATTGGTTTATATAACATGCAATTAACTACTTCATTATAGTAGAGAATATAATTAGCACAAACAGATCTGAGACCAAACACAACTGACTCTTGTTAAGGAGCCTCGAAGTTGGTGGAGGCAAAAGTGTGAATGAGGCTAAAAAGGAGCCTACTAGCTGGCGAATATTCCGTGCACCATGAGCAGCAGTCAGTAGGTCTTAGAACAAGAATGGAAGCAGGGTTTATGCTGGAAAGGTGGCTAAGTGGAGACTGGTTAAGAGCTTGTTAGTGATCATGAGGCCATGGAATCAAGTTACACTGGTGGACATGAGGGGTCAGAATGTCCCACCTATTGACTGGTGTAACTGAGATTCGGTTATAGTTTAACTTTTCTTTTCAGTCTCCAGAGCTAACAGAGCAGAATCTCCGAGCCCTCTTAGAAGACCATGTTCATGAGCACAGTACACACTGTCCCCACACGCCTGAGTTTTCAGTCACTGATGGAGCAGAAGAGAAGTCCTGTCTTCTCATGAGCTGTCTGGTAAGCCACCCATGGGATCCAGTCATAAGGGACCTTCATTGGTTGCTATTGTTCCCACCTTGACAGAAAGAGTAGCCTAGAAACTGGAAATGTTTCAAAAACATTTATTCTCAGATTTTACTTGCATTGAAAAGAGAAGGCTACAAGTCACCCCCACTGGACCTGACATCACATCCCCTAGAAGTGTTGAGTTTCCTACTCATGTCGTTGAGCATTGAACAAGGAAGCACCCTGTCTTTACTTCTAGTTCCAGGACTAGGCACATAGGAAGACACTAATATTTGTTGTTACAGGCACCAGTCAGATGGCTTTTGCCTTAGTAAGATGAAGAGGTGAGTGGGTATAATCGTAGCAGAGCTGGAGTGTGGAGCTCCTTGAGAGCGTAAATGTTTTAGACTAAGGACTGAGAGGAATGGGAAGGGCAGTTCAAGAGGAAATGAAGGATTGCCTAGCTGCTGTGTGTCCACCTGAAACTGCAGCATCCATTTCTCATGGACGCCACCGTCCACATACCTAACAATAGTGCCTTACGCAGCTCAAAGCAGCATTGACCCCAAGTGCATGATGACATTTGAAAGGAGTGTGCTGTAGGGGAGGCATCGAAGTCTTAGGAGAGTGTGATGGGCAGTGCTGGCTCCAGGGTGGACAGAGAGGCCATTTTGAGGTGGGGTCACAACGTAGATGAGAAACAGAAGGGCAAAATTGTGCTCACTGGGATCCCAGAGCTCAACGTTTTTTAAGGTATGCCATTTAGATGCTCTAAAATACTAATATGCTACTCACTAGACCTTTGTCTTTGGTTCTACTTCAGGGCTGTGAGGTCAGGGTGATTCAGCATTAGATACTAAGGATGAAGAAGATAGCAGTGGCCATTAACAGATACCACAAACCAAACTCTTAACTCATTGTCACCAATCAGTTCCAACTCATAGCGACCCATATAGGACAGTTAGAAATCCATGGGGTTCCCAAGGCTGGAATCTTGAGAGGAGTTCTGGTGTGGTGCTGTGGGTTAATGTGCTGGGCTGCAATGTGTTTGCTCAAGCTCACCAGCTGCTCCTCGGAAACCCTATACAGGGTCCCTAGGAGTCGGAACCAACTTGATGACACTTAACAACCTTTATAGAAGCAGACTGCCCCATCGTTTTCTGAGAGCAGATGGTGGGTTTGAACCCCAGACCTTTTGGTTAAGAGTGCTTTAACCACTGTAACAGCAGTGCTTATACACAGCACTTATGAGAGGGTCAGTGGACTGAATGTCTTACCACGGTGGTGGCACCAAGCTGTCAAGGAATCATAGGAGCTTAGTGACCAAGGGATGATGATGGGCTGAGTTCCTGTGTGAGCAACTTGTACCTCTGCTGAGTGATACATGGCCTTTTCAAGTTTGAATAATCTTCCTGGTCACTGGGTTACTGAATGAATTTATGATTAGCTCATCTGTAGAATGCGGTCTTCGCTGTTAAGTCTATGTACGAGAAGACTTCAGAAAGTTCATGGAAATTTTAGATTATCTTATTTTCCACGAACTTTCTGAAGTGCCCTCCCTCGTGTTGGTGCTGATGGTTTCGGAGGTAAGGCTGCAGGGCGGAGGCCCATCAAAGTCTTAAGGGCGAGAGTCATCAGCAGCCTTAGACAAACCACAGCATTAAACTCAGTTCATAACTGTAACTGCACTTGCATCATCTCATGTCAGAGTTCTAACTGTAGTATAAATGCCATTGTTAATAACAACTTCTAACCATTTACTGAGGAAACTTTTGTGATTTAAATACAAACGAAGCTAACCACCTTTTCTGTTTAAATCCAGGCTTGTGATACTTGGGCTCTCATCCTGTAGAGCCAGGCTTGACTTCCCAGCGTTCTACTGGGTTGGAAACAACTCATTCCACCTGAGAAAGGGCCTTCCTTGTAGATAAGTCTTTTATTTATAACTTATTTTGTATTAAAAAGAATTCAAATTCTCTGCTCTGGAGTGTTTTATGTTTAAGTCAAAAGGGAAGAAAAAGAAAAAACTTCCTGAAAGAAAGGGATTAACTGATTTTATTGTCCATCATGTTATACCAAAAAAAAAAAATAAAATCTAGAAATAGATTTGTAAAGGGATAAATGAATAGTCCACTAGAGTATAACAGAAATAATTTAAATGTGACATTTCCCCCATGATACTAGGAAGATGGCCATCTCAAAGCTCAAGTGTCTGCTGTTTAGAGTAGGTTTTGTTCACCGGCCACAGTATGCCATCAGTTTACGGTTTTCACGGTCTCTGCTCTATTGGCTCTTGACAAAACTCTTGAGGTCTTCTAGAAAAGTAATGTACTCTCTGTGCTCCAGGGCTGTGCTGAGCTCAACCAACTCATCGGCAAAGGTGTTGTCCACTCCTCGGTCCGCAAGGAAATCCATTAGATGGTCATACAAGGCCTGCAAGGAGGAACACTTACTAGTTTAGGGGGAAAACAACACGTCATAATGTTTATTACTGAAATGCTTCTTTGTTGTTGGACTAGCACCCTCCCCTGCAAAGCATTAAGAGGAGCCCATCTCATCCAGCACTCACCCAGTCCAGGGAATCGGTGTTGAGTGTGTACTTAGTGTCATTCCAGTCCGACTCGTCCGTAGACTGAAAACTCACTTCCCTGATGGAGAAAATGTCACTCTCCTCTGCCTCCTCTTGTCCAACCTGTGAAGAAACAAACTTTCCAGGGCACACCAAGACTCATGCAAGAAAAAGGGATGATTCCGTTGCAAAGTCACCAGATTTGAACCTTGCTCCCTCACTCTCTCTCCTCCCCTGCTTTGCTGGGCTGAGTTAGAAAGTGTGTGTAACAGAAAGCACCAGGAATGTCCCAGGAGGAAGTCTTTGTCCTCAGGGGCTAGCACTCCATCTACATACCTCATCCTCTGGATAATGACAGTCCAACACAAGGGCCTTCTTGCCGTCACTCTTTGTAACTTCAACCACAAAATTGGGAGTGGATGTCAGTTCAGGCTGAGGAGACAAGAAGCCAGTACATGCCATGGTTGGCAGGGCTGGCTGCCTGGACCAAAGGTCTGATGGCCACCACTATTAAGGTATTATTTGTCCTGGTGTGGTGCTGTAGGGTAATGTACTGGACTACAAGGTCAGTAGTTGAAGCTTACCAGCCGCTCCTCAAAATCCCTATACAGGGTCACTGTATTTTTTAAAAAAGTGCCACCAGATAAGGAGCATAGAATCTTTAACAGAGTGTAAAAGCCACATACCAATGCATTCAGGAGATGCGCCTCAACTCTTCCTTTTGACCCTTTCTAGGTGGCGGATTTTCAAATAATTAGTATAGGGCTTTCCATTAGCACACCTACTTGTTTAAAGAACACACTAGGGTTTGGAATGTAAAAATCTAGGAATCAACCACAGCTAAGTGTCAATGAACAGAGATCGGGTTAAGTCCCCTTGATCTCTTTGGGTATGTTTCTCCATCTATACATACAGCAAAGCTGACGTAAAACTCCAAGATCTCTCGACAGCTTGGCCATTTATGAGGACAACTGGCTCACTGGCCATCCTAATGTCTGAAGGCCACAGCTGCCCCCCTGCTGACGAGTTCTGGGAGCAGAATGAGCCCCCATGCTAGCCATGATGATATGCTCTGTGCCAGGCCATATGACGACATAGGCCCACACAGTTAGAAAGATCAGACTGGCGTCTAGGCTAGACATCTAACATGTCTCAAGACTGGGTACCACTCAGGTTCACAAGCAAAATCCCTGCTCGCCAAGTGCCAAACGATCATCTCTGACATTAAACATCTCCCTATCCTTGGAAGGGTCAAGAAAGTTTCAAAGCCTTCCGTTGAGAACACAGGCCAATCTCTAGAGCCTGGGTCTGCAGATGGCAACATGTTCAGTCCCTGGGAAGGAAAAGGTGGCACACAAATGGCTGCTTGCCCACAGTTCATGGTGGTTTTTCTTTGCCTTCTCTCCTCCTTCCTACATGAAACTAGTTCCCATCGGGTGGATTCAGTGTAGTACTGTCAGAATAGAACTGTGCCCCACAGGGCTTCAGGGGCTGTGATCATTCAGAGATCACTACACCTTTCTTCAGAGGTGCCTCTAGGGAGACTTAACTCTCCAGACTTTTGGTTGTTGTTAAGTGCAGACTCATAGGAACTCTGTATGGATTATCCAAGGAGCAGTTAGTGAGTTTGAACTGCTACCCATGCGGTCCAGCGCTTTACCCCACAGCGCCACACCAGGATCCCCAACTGTTGGTTGTTGTCGTTAGGTGCCGTCGAGTAGGTTCCGACCCATAGCGACCCTGTACAGGGTTTCTGAGGAGTGGCTGGTGAGCTTGAACTGCCGACCTTATGGTTCAAACTGACTTTACGGCCCATCTGTGCCACCCAGGGACTCTTGGGGGAGTTTTGTTTTGTTTTTTTTTTAAAAAGAACTGTTCCTTTGTTGTTGTTAAGTGCTGTCGAGTCAGCTCTGACCCATAGTGACCCTGATATGGTTTCCAAGAAGCTAGTGAGCTTGAACCACCAATCTTGTAGTTCAAACTGACTGCAGTCCAACGCATTAACCCACAGCGACACACCAGGACTCCAGAAATCTGAGAGCAAGCCTGGTTAGTGTTAAATCTTACCTCTTGTTCTTCAGTCTTCTGCCCTTCTGAGGGTTCCTCCTCCCCATCAAATGTAGGTGGGATGCTATTGTTAGTGTTGAAAGTGACAGTGATTCTAGAAGAGCAAGGTAAACAACAGTTTTGGTGTCACTTGGTGCAATGGGCAAATACTGAGGCCTGCTACTGCCAACAAGGAAGTGGGATGGTGCTCTAGGATAATCACTGGACTGCAAACCACAAGGTTTGTGGTTCGAGCCCAATAGCTACTCTGTGGTGAGTCAGAACAGACTCGACAGCATGTAACAATAGCTAACAATGCTTCTTGAAACAATTATTTCCAGTCTAGCTGCTGTACATCTGAGTTTTGGGCAGAACGTCCTATATCCAACCCTAAGATTAACTCGATAGGCCTCAAGTGGGCCTACTATGTGCCAGCTGCTGGAAGTCAAACCAATAAGCCGAATTCACTTTGACTCAATCCAGTCAGGTGGGCTAGCATTCCAGGACTTGCTGCCAGACGTGTCCACTGGTCATGTGGCCATGGCCAAATGACACTGCCTGCCCTGGTCTGTTTTAGACACCCTTAGTGGAGGCGAGCAGCTGAGAATCCAGACAGACAGAACAGAAGCTCCTTAAGAGCTTATCTAGCACAAAACCTGCCTGTGGAAGGAAGGGAAGAGTGTGCACTGCCGAGTTATATCAGCTGAGGACCATGAATAGCCCCAACCAGGAAGGGGAGCCCTCACCAAGAGCAACATGCCACAGGGTGCGTCCTACACTTGGGAGGCTTTCTAATCGCAATAGACCATAGGCACCAACTAAGGACAATGTTAAGTTGTAGCTCCAGCAGGTACCATTTGCCTTTGCTTTCTGTAAAGGACGCCTCTTGAAGCACAATTCCGTCCTCTGTGTTTGCTGGCTGTCTTGACAGAAAACCATTTTCCTCTAAGAACAATGGCTGTCTGAGGTTCAGCAGTGATGTTTGTTACAGCCAAAAGCTGGTTCTGATTCACTATCCAAATCGAAGGACATTGTTTCCGTGAAGAAGCAGCTGGTGGATTTGAACTGCTGACCTTGAGGTAACAGTCCAGTGCTTATCCTACAGCACCACACTCTGAATTAAGATCATGTTGTTGTTGTTGAGTCGGCTCTGACTCATAACAACCCTGTATAAGGTTTCTGAGGAGCAGCTGATGGGTTTGAACTGCCGACCTTGTGGCTCGCAGTCCAGTGCTGATCCTATAGCACCACACCAGGAACAAAGTTGACGGCACTTAACAACCACGTGATTAAGGATGACTGTATATCCTACAGAGAAGCCTCAAGGAGAATTTACCATAGGGAAGGAGCTGAACTGGTCAGAAACATCCCACCAGATTGCAACCCTTACTATATATGGTAACCCATTCACCTACTGTCAACATTTAGAGAGCAGAACCCTTGTTTCACTCAGCCAGTCTGGCAGCTGAGTCTGCAGAACTGTAAACTCATCGGTTCTATCACTAATATCACAGTTTGAATCCCCACACGGCATGGCCTCTCCACCAATGAAGGTATACCAAGGGTCTGTCTTTACTGGTCCAATAGACTTCCAGCCAGGTACTACTTCCTTACATCTCCCTAGTAACAAGCCCACAGCAAAGTTATGTTCAACAGATGACCTGGAACTTAGGAACTAGACCAGGTGCATCTTTTTCTTATGAAAATTATGTAGCTAAGTATCAAGGCTGTTCTGGGATTGGTCATGATGGACCAGGGATTTGGTCCCTGAAGTCCTCCTCCAGGTGGGTACTTACTTTTCCCCTCCAACTTTCCGCACTAACTTGGCCTCTGTCCCTTTCACTTCCAGCTCCCAGCCTCCAGACATCTTGGGAAGGGATTTATGCTTCTGGATCTTCTTCTCTTCTTTAATCTCATCGTTCAGGAACTCAACAAATGCTTTGTCTCCTAGAATGAAAATTCAGTTGTCACAGAAAAAGAAAAGCTTAACACAGCGACCCAGGTGATGGCAGACAGATACCGGCCTGACACTGGTTCTAATCTCGCTGCTATTCACGGTTGCTCTGGGAATTTAGTACAGCTCACTTCAGTGAGCCTCATTGGTAAAACTGCTATGACTCATCAATGCGAAGCTGAGTTCAACGCTGGAAAAGGAATTTCCAAAAATAAACTCATTAATTACTAACTTTCACCACAAAGCAAAAGAACTCTCAACTACCCCTCTTGAACATGCCAGCAGACATTAACTATGCTACTTTCAACCTAGACCTTGGGTTTTTCCTAAAGTTCCATTTGCAGGAGACTCGGGATAAGAGTCGGCGTGCAACGTTTAATTTTCTATCTCCCGGATGGGGAGAGGGGACGTGCTGACACGTGGGTTTCACAACGTGCGGATGCTAACCAGTGGATAAAATGTTTCAGATCTCGGAGGGCTGCGGTTCCATGCAGTAGAGTAGAGGTCTAAACTTCCCTTTTCCGCCCCGGCCCCTGGGGGTCCTCCTGCCCCGTCCACAGCCCCATCCCACGTGCGGACCCTCACCTTCCGTGTGCAGCGCGCCGCAGCCGCAGGCACAGGGCCCGCGGGGTCGCAGGAGGCCGGGCCTCCGCGCCGAGCCCGCGCGCACGCTGAGCAACCCGAAGGGCCTGGCGCACGGCCGTGGCGCCGGCTGCAGAAGCTGTCGGAGCGGCGGAGAGGGCGCGGCGGCGCGGAGGCCGGCCACGGCGGAGCCCAGGGCACGGGGCACACCGCGCAAGAAGGGCAGCATCGCAGAGGCGACAATGGCAGCAATACACGTGCGGATGCGAAGGACAACCGGGGCCTCAGGGCCCCCTGACCGCGCTTGCTGCCGGAAGTACCGCCTCCGCCCAGGAGGTGTTTTCCGCGCCGCCGCCCTAAAAGGCGAATGCTACGTGGGCTGTGCCGCGCCATCTGCTGGCGGCCTCCGGTTCTGAGTCGGCCTGAGTAAAGCCCGAGGGTGCTTAAATCGCCAGCATTGATTCTCTCCGGTGGGTCATTGTTGCTGTTCCTGTTGCTATTCAGGTGGTGCTGTTGCTGTTCTTGTTAGGGGCCGAGGAGTCAGTTCCGACCCACAACGACCTTACGTAGGAGAGCCCAGTCGTGGATAAACACTGAACTGCTTACCGCAATGTCGACAGTTCGAACCCACCCATGCCTCTCCTTGGAAACCCTATACTGGCTCAGAGTCTGAACAGACTCAAGAGCACTTAACAGGGTTTCCCAGACTGTAAATCTGCGGAAGCTGAAAGACTTACCCTCCAGCTATGAGTCAAAATCCAATAGATAGCAGTGGGTTTGGTTTTTCTCAAAGCACACCAGAATATGACTTTGTGCAATTTGGCCTTACCACCCCCTAACTCCTTGTGTTGCGCTATTGGATCAGCACTGAGCTGCGAACCACAAGGTTGGCGGTTCAAACCTACCAACTGCTGCTCGGAAACCCTATACAAGGGTCTTTACCTGGCTCAGTGGCACTTTAACAACCCCTAACTCTAACAGATCTGACTCCTAAATCAGGTAAGGCCTAGAGGTCTTTCTAGGGCAGATTACCAAACAAGGTAAGCACAGACTTACTTATGCTTACTTACTGGATACTCCATCCCTGTCAGGGATTGTACATTTGAAAATTCTGTGGAGTCAGGAGACAGTTTCCAACCAGTTAGAAGCAAAATCATTCATTAATTTGGTGGGAAATGTGCAATTATTTACTATAGATTAATAAATAGGCAAAAAAAAGTTCATACTTACCTTGTTGTTCTTGTTAAGTGCCATCAAGTCAATTCCAACCCATAGTGACCCTATATAGGGTTTCCAAGGAGCAACTGGTAAGCTTGAACCACTGATCTTGCAACAACTGGTAAGCTTGAATCACTGATCTTGCAACTCAAAGGACTTTGCAGTCTGGCGCATTAACCCACAGCGCCACACCAGGATTCCAGACACTGGACCTTTCTAGTACCTCATCCTCTACTTCACCAATGGTTAAGTCATGTCTGTGCACCCACATCCCCTAGGCTGCATTCTTCTGTCTACAAAAACCTCCTGGCACTACTGGTTGATGGGCCACCCCCGCTTACCCCCACCACTGAGCTCCTGAAGGGGAGGGTCTGTAATTAATTCCTGTGCCCTTCCTCTCCTGCATCCTCCAGACTCACACCCAAGTCCTTATGGAACATCATTGTTTTGGGGCAAGAAGCCATGGCTTATTCAGGTTAAGAATGATACACAGGATACATAAATGACCAAGAAAGTTATGTCTTCTCAAATTAGTGACAATGATTACAACTGATACTTCATCTCTTTTTTACAGCCTCCCATGAATAGGAAAAGGAGACCCAAAAAAGCCACACATCATGTACAAGATTCATTTTTAATGGATTTGATACTCATGTGCAAATTTGTGCATTATATATACATACAAGAGCTTGTTTTTCAAGAGTTATGTCTGTTTGAGCAAAACCAGATTCTCAAAATACATAATTCCAGACCAATTTAATTTCTTTTGACTTTTTTCAAGTTATAATATTCATATCAAATAAAGTTCCTGTTTCCCCACAGATGCAGTGTTTCCTTATATGCTTAAAGAACATATCTAGCCACCTTACCGAGCAGTTTCTGGTAGCTGGATTGAGCAGATTTACATATCACAGTACATAAGGAGTTCTACCCAGCAGAGATGCAACAAAGAGGTTGATTTCCCAAGGACCCAGTATTTGCAGTACTTGCCCTTGTAGCGAAGCCTGTATTACTAATGGCTGTCTCACACCTCATGATGATCAGAAGTAGAAGAAAATGCCCGTGGCATGCAAAATACTTGCTTGTAGAAGTGGATCTGTTTACACCAACTTGCTTATGGGACTTATTTCATGGGTGGGAAAAGAGGTGTCACATCATCATAGATTTTAACCAATTGAAAAACAGGAGTTCAAGATTATATTATGAAGCTCTGGTAGTCCAGTGGTTACGAGTCGGGCTGCTAACCTCAAGGTCAGCAGTTCGAAACTACCAGCCGTTCTGCAGGAGAAAGATGAGGCTTTCTGCTCCTGTAAAGATTTACAGCCTTGGAAACCCTATACAGGGTCACTATGAGTCAGAACCGACTCCATGGCACACTACCACTACCAAGATTATATCATTTTTAAAGAAAGTTTAAGAAAATTTATGTTTAAAGTGCACTATCCCCCACAGCAGATTATGAATAACCATTATTTCTTTGCAGTAATACATGGAGTCAGAATGGGTTTGCCAGTCTGATTTAATCCCTGAGCAGCTATGTTAGAAGTTAATTTCTTACAAAGCCCAGTACAAAAACTACTGTATTAAAACTACCAGACAGCTACAGCGATCAGCAGAGTTGGGTACAGAAATGGTACAGCGGCTTAAGAAGCTGTTTATTCCCTTTCCCCCCTCCTACCCACTCAGAAATACGTATATATTTCTGGAAATTGGTCAGGTACTTAAGTTGGACATAAAGTTAAGTTTAACATCAATCAGAAAGCACCTCTAACTAGACATTATGCTGAGGAATATAATAAACCATTCCACCCGATTTTTTATCATCATGATGAATGTTTGATTAGAAACATACTTTCTTTCAGTAAATGAGGCTACCCAACCTATCCCTCTAATACATACATTTAAAAAAAAATTTTTCTTTTTATAAAGAAAAACTTTCAGAAAGTCAACAGTGGTAAGAGCAGGTTGACCTGAGGGAGAACCAGTTAAGTGTGTGTTGTTGTCGTTAGGTGCTGTCAATTCAGTACCGACTCATAGTGACCCTGTGCACAAAAGAACACAACACTGCCCAGTCCTGCGCCAACCTCACAATTGTGGCTACGCTTGAGTTCACTGCTGCTGCCGCAGCGTCAAACCCTCCACTTTACTAAGCATCATGTCCTTCTTTAGGGACTGGTCCCCGCTAATCATGTGTCCAAAGTATAAGAGACGAAAGTCTGGCCATCCTGGCTTCTAAGAAGCATTTTGGCTGTAATTCTTCCAACATACATTTGTTTGTTCTTTTGGTGTTCTATGTGTGTATGTTAGTTACCCTGAAGTTAGCCCCAACTCATGGTGACCCCATGCACAATGGGACTCTGAGTTTCACTGGCTGATTTTCAGAAGTAGATTGTCAGGCCTCTCTAGTTTAGAAGCTCCACTGAAACGTGCTCAGCACCATGGCAGCACAGAAGATTCCACCCACAGACCACTGGTGGTTGCACCTGCAGTGCACTGGCCAGAAATCAAATTGGGTCTCCCGTAGGGAAGGTGAGAATCCTACCACTGAGCCATCATGGCCCTCAACTACAAGTCTAAGAACCCAGCAAGGTAAGGCATCGAGAATCTGTCAACTCCTATTTGGCTTAAATGTAGCTACGTCTAACAGAGAAGGAAGTCACAAGTGCCCTGATGCCCACTAAGCACGGGTTAAAAGCTTGAGTGCTCAAGACTCGAACCAGTGCCATCAACACTGAGGCCACCGTCACATGCACAACTGTGGACATGGCAGGCCAGGGGACTGAGGCACTCTGTTGGGGTCAGCCCTCAGTCCCTACTGAAGATACTGTCCACTGTCTTTGAAGAGGATTCGAGGCACAATTTGACCCATGCTGATACACTTTGCAATGATAAGTAATGACCAAAATGCCACAGAGATGTGTTTAAGGCCAATGAAGCACAATACAAGAGCTGCTTCCAAGACAAAACACTTCCTAGGGAAAGATGATTTGCTTTTGATAACTGAATACCTAAGAATCATCTCTGGTATCTTTTCCTTTCTTCAAATCTGAGGAGGAGATTGTGAAGAGCTTCTACTTCCCTCTGACAAATGTGGAAACTGAGGGCGGGAGAGGGGTGATGGGCAACAGTTAAGAAGCAGCAAGGCAGGAGGACCCCAAGTGCCTAGGAAAGAAACAAGTTGAAGAAAATAAACAGAGCAAAGGCTATAAAGCCAAGATGTGGATGGGGTGAGCCAAAGCTCTCTGGTTTCTCACTGACCTGCAGTGATTTCCACCCCATCACCCCGGGCCCTGGACTAGGGGCCCTGCCAGGAGAGAAATGATCCAAGCATTCCTTATGCTCACATGGACATATGACCCAGTTGGAGAATAAAATGACAACTGGGAATGCTGGAAACCACCACTCTTAAAGGTCAGCTTCCAATGTCTACACCTGAAAGGATCCAAAAGCTACAAACCAATCTTTACCCAGGAAGCTGTAATGGCTCCTGGAAGCACCGATGAGCGACATTGCACTCCAGAGGTGCCAAGGACAAAGACTCCCCAGCACACACAGCCTGGTGACCTGAGAGCACTCCTTCCTTACTGGTCTCTGTGTGGAGCCCACACCCTGGGTAGCGAGGGGCCAATATGGGCGGGCAGCCATCCCATGAGACAAAAGTACCTCCCCTCGGGAAACTACCACAGAAGTCAGTTTCTTTTATTTGCTATTTTAAAACTCCATACAGGATTAAAAGTCAAAATTACTCTAAGGAAACCATTCATGCTCTGTGGCGGTCTAAGGCTCCTCTTGGAATGTTCCCTTCAGTTACAAGAACTGACAGGGTTTTTCTGTACTCAGTAAAACGTAATTATGGCTCACAATGTCTAGTATGTCTAGACACAGCTCTAGGCACTTTCCATTCATTCTCCCTAAATGTTACAACCTCAACTCTGAAAATAAATAGTAGTAGTAGTGGTACTATCATCCCCATTTGGCAGATGAGGAAACTGAGGTTCAGAAGTTAACTAAGTTAGCCAACAAGAACCAGAAGCATAATGTCGAAGTTTCCAAAGTATAAATGGCATGGACACTGTCTACGTGGTTGGACTATGGGAGTTCAAATAAAGAGGCCTCCCAGCTCTTGGAAGCTGGGCACATCCGGCTGCATGAAAGTTCACTGCCTCTCTCAGTGGCAGCCTAGGAAACTGTAGGAGGGTGATGGGATCCAAGCTCCTGGACAAGCAGCAATCCCAGCAGCACTGGGAGTGGCTCAGTTCCTGGCGGTTCTCAGCTTCCTGCGGAAGTACTCAGGGGCAGCCTCGTATAGCCACTCGGCATCTACAACACACAGATCACGCATGTAGCACTTGTTGGTGTAGAGCAACTCGGTGTACACGACGCAGGCCGGCTTGCAGTGGAAGAGGACAGACGAAGGGTGGATGGCCACCGGCTGGTGGGTGTCTGTGGTGGCATAGGTGCCATCTGGCTGAAGTTCTGCGGTGTTCATGAAGAGGCTGTGTGCCAGGCAGCGACGGACGCTCTCCATGTCTCCTCGCGATGACATGACTGGCATTGACATCTGTTCCAGGAGAAAGCAAGCAATGGAAATGTTCCCACCTGCTCACGGCATGGTAGAACTACGTTCCACTGACAGAAAGCATTGAAAAACAGGGCTCTCAAGAAACACACGCAATCGCACACATATACAGAGATGCACACACACACATACAGAAACAAGTCCAGAAGAATCTTTTAATAGTGGCTAGTCCTCGATGGCACTTAACAACAACAATATCCCTGGAGAGGCAGGATTATAGGAGACTTCCAAAACTTTCTGTGTTATATGAGGGGGCTTCAAAAAGTCGGTGGAAACATTACATTCTCTTTGATTCCATTTTTCCATGGGCTTTTTTGAGACTGCCCTCCATGTATATCACTGTTTTCTGTATGAACAAATATGCATGTGCTTTTGTAACCTGAACAAAAATGAGATATTCCCACTTGAAAAAAACAAAAATCTTAGGGAACATTTTAACATGGAAAACACTTCACAAAAGCATTTGTAAAGTCTGAATTTACACATAGATATAACTAGATATGGAGCCCTGGTGTGGCATTGTAGGATGAGTACTGGGCTGCTAACCAATAGGTTGGTATTCAAACTTACCATCTACTCCTAGGAAACAAGGTTGTTATGAGTGGAGACCAACTCAATGGCACTTAACAACAATGTAACTACACACACACACACACATATATATATACACATAAGGAGCTCTGGTAGCGTAGCGGTTACGAATCGGGCTGCGAACCACAAGGTCAGCAGTTCGAAACTACCAGCTGTTCCACGGGAGAAAGATGAGGCTTTCTGCTCCCGTAAAGATTTACGGCCTCGGAAATCCTGTACAGTGTCACTGTGAGTCAGAACCAACTCCACGGCACATCACAACAACAACATATATATATATATATATATATATATATATATATATATATACATTGTGTACTTTAAAAACATGGCTATTAAGAAGTAGACTAAATCCAGGAGGTGTGGAAGTATGGGTAATTTTTACTTTGTTCCTGTTTTCAAATTTTCCTACAGGGATCATTACTTTTAAAATCACTTGTTGTTGTGAAGTGCCACTGAGCAATCCTGTTTAGGGTTTCTAAAGAGCAGCTGGCAAGCTTGAACCCTCGACCTTGCAGTTTGAACAGCTTTGCAGTCTGGCGCATTAAGCCACTCATGCTAAGTAATTTATAAAGTCTAACTAGGAAACAGGAGCAGCTTAGTCCCAGTACCCTAAAGAATGGTAGAAAGAAACAATACCTTCAAACAAATATCCCTCAGCTGGGCTCTGACTTCAGCTACTAGCATCATATTCTTGCTGTTGACAAAATTCTCTCTGCACCAATCCTGTAGAGGACAAAAGAGGTCTCACAATCCCTTCATTTTTACAGAGACAGATACATAGCAATTCAGAAGGTAGATAGGGAAAACTTCAGGTGCCAGAAACAAATAGAGGAAAATAGCTTCTTTAAAGAAAAAAACCCAAACTTTTTATTGTGATTTGCAAGAAAAGAGGAAAACAGCTTTAAATTAAAAAGCATGAATCATAATGGAAAATATCTTCTTTTAAAAAAAGCACCACTTTTTATTGTGATTTGGGTGAGAGGAGGAAAACAGCTTTAAATTAATAAGCATGAAACATAATGGAACATATTAATAATCCAAATGAAAACAAAACTAAAAATACCCTTAGGTCTAAACTAAAACCAAACCATTTAGCACTGAGTCAGTTCGGACTTTTAACAACCCTATATAAGGTTCCCAAGACTGTAAGTATTTGCAGGAACAGACAGCCTCATCTTTTTCTCCCAGAGGGCTGAAGGCTTTGAACTACCAACTTTTCAGTTAGCCGCCCAATACCTAACCCACAGCATTACTATTGCTCCTTCTTATGCCAAAAATCACCATGAAAAAGAGCTATAGACTGGAGGAAATATTTGTATTACCACACCCTATAAGGGATTAGTACCTCCAAAATATGTTAAATAAATAGATAAAATAAAAAACTTCTACAAATCAGTAAGAGAGAGACCAACAATCCAATAGAAAACTGGACAAAGGATATGAGGAAGCAGCTACAGAAGAGGAACTACTAACAGCCAATGAACATAACTAAAGAGCTCTAATCTCTTGAGGAACCCAGGCAAGAGTTTCAAATAACTGATGCATTCACTTCCATCACTTGGCAGAATTAAAGTCATTTTACCAAGAGTCAGAGGGGATAGTGGTCATGGAAACTCTCATACGTTACTTTGTTATTGTTGTTATGTGCCATCGAATCGGTTCCGACCCATAGCGACCCTGTATAGGGTTTCCGAGGGTGTAAATCTTTACGGGAGTAGAAAGCCTCATCTTTCTCCCACAGAGCACCTGGTAGTTTCAAACCGCTGACCTTAAGGTTCGCAGCCCGATTCGTAACCACTACGCTACCAGAGCTCCTTCATATGTTACTTTAGGGAGCATAAAAGGTGCTAGCAACATCGGAGGGACACACAACATGGTAAAGTTCAGACACAGCTATCCCAGACCCACAACACGGTAAAGTTCAGACACAGCTATCCCAAGACCCACAACATGGTAAAGTTCAGACACAGCTATCCCAGACCCAGAACATGGTAAAGTTCAGACACAGCTATCCCAGACCCACAACATGGTAAAGTTCAGACACAGCTATCCCAAGACCCACAACATGGTAAAGTTCAGACACAGCTATCCCAAGACCCACAACATGGTAAAGTTCAGACACAGCTATCCCAAGACCCAGCAGCTACACTCCAAGTGGTTGGCCCCAGAGAAAATTCTCCCCACCTGCACAAGGAGACACGTACAGATGTTCATGGCGGCACTGGAAGTGGAATCAAGTTACAAAACGATAGTGTAAGAAAATACTTATATACATGGATGTGAAGTAACAGTATGCCACTCATAGGGAACATCTACAGGATAGCACAAATACAAGGGAGGAAGGACTAGGAAAGGACATCAGAGCACAGAATCTACAGCATTTATTTATTTATTTCCTTAAAAATAAAGTGAGACAATTTTAGCAAAATTTACAGCTGTTGAAACTGGATGGTGGCTTACTTTTTCATTTGAAAGAAGTGGGTGCTTTAAAATGCAAAGGAAAAGTTTATACACTATGGAACAATAATTGATCTTATTAATAAGTCAAAGGAAATACTGATATTTTCCATATTGGTCCAAAGAACTTAAATATTATACAAGCAAAAACCACTGTGAATAAGTTAGGAGCAGGTGGGGGGGAAAAGTCATTATGTAGCTAAGAAATTGAATCGCCAAAAGTATAACCAATTTGTTCATATTAAGCTCAAGTTAAATACAAGCAGAGACTAAGGCCAGAGTCTCTTATTAACCCCTTGTCTTCACACATTTCGGAAATGCCAATCTGGGATTCTTTCTGAGGATCTCTAGATGATTCAGCCAAAACGCGTAAGTACACGCACAGCACTGGCCAGAAGGAAGGAGCTGTCTTATCAGAAAAGAAATAGGACAATGCTTACTTTATTGCCACCGATGTTTTTGAAGGTCCGGTAGATATTCAGCAAAGTAACGTGGTCCCCCTCACTGGATATGAACTTCTTCCGGACACTCTGCACCTCATCCCGCCGAGCAGGAGGGTTGTAAAGAACGCTGTCCACAGACAGCAGCGAGACAATAGTCAGTATCTCCTCGGTGCAGTGGAATTTGGAGGACAGTAGGATGGTCTACAAATCAGAATTAACAATTGGTTAAGTCAAGTTCATCTCTTAACTGCTGTATATTGATTTTGCATCTTCCCTTCTAAGGAGCTCAGGGGCAGCTGTTTCTAAAGCCATAATTGTCTATGTTCATGCTATTTTGAGTTGTTGTAAAACAGATGCCTGCTTTCCCCGCAGGATGCCAAATTTCTTGTGGACAGAGCTAATTTATATCCTTGAATACTGGAGAGGACAGAAACCAGTGTTCCACAGATAGAAGGCGTTGCAAAGATTTAAGAGAAGAGGTGAGGATTAATCCAGAAGCACTGGGTTCAGGGTCTACTTTGGGATAGCTACCCTAGAAAGTACAAAGGGGAGCGAGGAGACTGTAGCATTTACTTTGGCAAATTTGGGTTCTAAAGGAAATGCTGCCATCTTCCTTCCAATTGGAGTCAGGTTAAGCTGGTCATCCTTATGGTCAAGAGCACCTAACAGGTCCAGTTGGGCAATGGCCGCCTGAATGTGATCTAAAGAAACAGAGACATTAAAAAAAAAAAAAGGAAGACTTCTGGCGCTTCTGGTCGCTCTACATCAAACAGCAGCAGAGCTCACAGCCACCAGTGCCCCGTGATAGGTTTTTAAAGCTATCAATGACATAACTGCCTCCGCTTTGATGCCCTTTTAAACTAATACCAATTGTACACACGTATACCCTTTAGTCCAGCAATATCACACTTATCACCTTCAGATAGACTCATACATTGCAGAGACCTTTGTACAAAGATATTCAATAGAGGACTATCAGCACTAACACATGACTAGAAGTAGAGTACATTCATACTACGGGGATATATACTACCACTAAATAACAAGGAGGTTCCTTATGTATGAAAATGGGACAATCTTAAGTGGCTGAGTCAAACAAGAGCAAGATATAAAACTGTATGTAGAATTTGTCACTGTTAATTAAAAAGATTAGAGGAAGAATAGATTTTTGCTTCCGTTTCTCTTGCACACACCACACAATGGAAATACTAGTTGCCTCAGAGGCAGCCTGTGGGGCTGGAAACATGAGGTGAGAACGCTGGTTATTACTGACTCACAAAGGAACAGTCTGTACAATATCTTTCGTGACAAGAGCAAGATGCAAATGAACATTAACAGGAGAATGGATAAATACGTTCTGGTTTGTTTAAACAGCAGCATAATGTCCATCAACACAAACAAACCTCAGAAAACAAATCTGGAGGAAAAGAGGGACTGCTGGGGAATAAATACCCAAGCACACCCTGTAGGGGCACATACGTGCATCAGAAAACAATAAAGAAAAGAGCACACAAAATATGGGTGAATGTTTACATTATGCACGGAGAGAAGGGGACAGAAACAAGTACAGTCGGGGACGGCATGGCAGGTTTGGTGGCACTGGCAGTAAGCACACGGGTTTGTTTGCTTCATTACTCCATCTACTGTGTGTATACAGCACGTTACTCCTTTGTATGTAAGAATTTGGCAATTAAAAGGAAAACGACCATGTCAAACAGTGTACACTGTACGCTGCTATCTGTGTATTATGCACAGCTTGTCTCTAGGGGACAACTGGGAAATGGTCACAGCGGTTACCTGAGCGAAGTGATATGAAGATCCCAGCATACCCAACCATTCTTTTGGGGTTTTATTGGGTTACCATTTGTAATGCTTTAAAAAAAGGGGAGGTGGGCAAGAGAAAGAAAAGGTGAATGGTGTCCTGACGAGATGCTAGGTGCCAACACATCATCAGTCCGAATCCCAATGATTTCTGACCCCTCCATGGAGAGACCACTAAGGAGGGGCAGTAGAGCACAATCAAGCACAATTAAACACGAGCAGAGTCACAGAGACAAAGTCTGGAGTCACATTCTGCCCTTGTCATTTCCCTCTCCTCACCCACTTCAGACATGACATCTGGCATTCTTGTTTTGGAGCTCTTTACAATGATTCAGCTGAAAAAAGGAAGCTGCACTCAAATCAGCAAATTCTAGTCTTTCCCATCCTTTTGCTGATAAAGGTACAATGTCCGCTGGGTTTCTGCAGCATCCATGGGCTGTGTTCAATTCCCGGTCCCAGTGGCTAAGGAACTGGGCCGGGACTTCCTGTCTGATACTTTCGTTTTTGCCTGAGGACTGTGCTGGAAGCAGAAACCCAGCATCTCCTGAATTTCAGCAGCTTCTCTCACAGTCAATGTTATTATCCACCAAACACGCTGAACCATCAAAACACTTTTTAAAAGGCTGCCTATGGAGGGTCCATCTGTTGTTACTTAGCTACTGAGACCCCTGTGTGACACTGTGTGCTTCACTTACCTGGAGACGGTTTGGACATGAAGTCAAAAGTGAGTATATTTGGAACTTTCATTGCTAGGAGCTGTAGCATCACGCTCGCCAGGTTGCACCTAGAGAGTGGGAGACACAGGGCATTTACTCGTCTCTGGTTCTCCACCCAGTGAGTCAGAACCACCCACCCAGGAGTGTTGGATAGAATGGGGCGGTACCGATGGGAAGGAGAAGCAGGATGCAAGGCAGGGGAGCAGGGAACCCCGAGCTCACCTCTGGATTTCTGGCACCGTCATCTTCTCAAACTTCTCAAACTCCTCCTCCGTGTACAGTCGGTAGCAGATGCCACTATCCTCTCTGCCAGCCCTTCCTGTGCGCTGCCAGGCCTGGGTCTTTGACACCCGCTGCACAGCTAACACCTCAAGACCGCTGTCTGGAAGGAGAACAGGCCACACGAGTGCTTCACTCTCCACGCAACGGAACAGTTTCACAACCCTGCCAAGCAGCAGCACCAGTACCTCAGAACACCAGGGACCTTTCTCCAATACAGAGATCCGGAAAAACTCAGGGCTACAACAGAAAGCACAAACTAGGCCGCTTTGCAGTGGTTTGGCTCCAGGGAAACTGTGTGGGATGTCGCTGAATCATCAGGAAAACCTCATGTTCATGGCCACAGGCCAGGATGGCAGGTTCAGGTCTGGGCTTAGCTTGCAGGGTAAGCAGCCTTCCAGGTTGTGGGGGATGCGGGGCTTCCAGCATGAAAACCGGGATAGCTCCTGGCTAACTAGAGGGTGGGTGGTCTCCCTGTCAATCAAGAGCTCAGCAATCCAGTGCCTGCAGTGGCTTGTGTGCTTGTGTGCTTTGTTCTCCTTCCAATCTGCTATTGCAACTATTTGTTTCCAAAGACTAAAGGGTTCTTGTTAGAGGGGAGCTCTCCACCAGGCACAAGAGAATCAAGCCCTTCCACACACATTAGCTCTGAAACATACACATGTGAACATTCGCACCCTCCAATGTTTGGCAGTATATTTCAACTAAAAGCCTGGGAGTCACCATTTCAGCTGCCTCCAACCCTCTGTGGAATGAGGTGCAGCATGGATCAACTGACGTCAAGCAAGCTCCCCACCGCAGTGCTTGGGAAACAACTAGTGCCTCCCCTCCACTCCTCACCCCAGCCTAGGGAATTAGTTTCCTTCCTCAGAGTGCAAACCAAAACCCACTGCCATCAAAGCAATTTTGACTCACCGTTGTTCTATGGCCAAGCAGAACTGTTCCCTAGGCCTTCAAAGACTGAAACTGTGTACAGGAGCAGATAGTCTCATCTTTCTCTCACAGAGCTGTTGGTGGCTTTGATCCACTGACCTTGCAGTTAGCAGCTCAATGTTTAAGCCATCAGACTAGGCATATGCAAATATTTCTAGCAAGAACCTTGGACCTGTTATCAGACTGCTCCTGAAACTTCTGATGAAACTCTGTTCACTGGCTTGCTAACAACCCGCCTGGGACATTGCCTCTGCCTGGTTTTCTCATCTCGCCCATCTGCCTCGGGTGGTCTCCTTCTGGGCTTGGCATCCAGACTGTCTCATTTATGGAGAGTGCCCCCCAAATCTGAGTTAGCTACAAACACGACAGAGAAGAGACAGTCATGAGCTACGGGTTCTCACCAGGGTTATACTTCTTTGCTTTCACCATGCCTGTGTCCACTACATGTTTCACTCCTGGAATGGTTATGGAGGTTTCTGCGATGTTGGTTGAAATGATTACTTTGCGACAGCCCTACAAGAAAACCAAAAAGCCGTATGACTCAGAAGTTTTCAAACGCAGTCCTCACCATTCATTTCCTAAACAATCCACTCATGATAAAGTTAAAAACAAAAAACAAAAAACGACTCCATCATTCATGAGAGACTCTATGTGGGCAGTTATTAGCACAGGGAGCAGCAGGGAGGCAGGGATGCTCATCCTTAAAAGCTTATTTTGAGGAATGAGATGGAGAGGGAAAACGGCACAGGATTTGGAAGGAAGCAGGTAGATATGAGTGGGAATGCTGGCCCTAAGCAATCGCTCCTTCATCTTTCAAGACTTCAGTGTTTATAAAATGGGACCAGAACCCATAAAGAAAAACAGTTTCCTGGTTCTTAAGAGGAAAAGCTACAGTGTATGTAGCGCATTAGCTCACAGTCTGGCCCTCACTGGAACCTAATGAATGGTCAAATGGAGTTTATTCCTGTTGGACGTTAGGAGGGTCACTCATTTATTTGTCAGCCTTACCCTCAACTGCCGACAAGTATCTCCCTGCCAGTTCTTACCTCAGGTGTGTGGTATCTGTAGCTGAGCTTTTCAAGTAGTTTATCTGGCACCTGACCACCCCATCCTGTCCAGCACCCTCCCCTGTCTTATCAGGACCTTGACAACATGTACATTTACCAAGGTGCCCTGACCAGGGGTTGGTCAGGAGGCAGTGCACTCACCTTGGGAGCCCCCTGGAAAACGCGGAGCTGTTGAGCATAGGGCAGGGAGGCATACAGGGGCAGAACCAGCATTGAGGGGCAGCCATCTGGGAGGTGCTTTGCAATGTCTCGACAAGTCTTACTCATGGCTTCAATCTCCTCCTGGCCAGTGAGGAACACCAGGATGTCCTGAGATGAAGGGGCTTCCTACAAAGAGGTCAAGATTGGGATTGCTCAGACTTGATAGAAACTCCAGCCCAGGAGAGCAAACTGTTCTGACTGGAACAGCAACATAGAAGATTCCAGGGGAAATAAAACAATCAGGATTTGAACACATAAAAAACGGTCTTATATCCATATAACAGATATTAAGAACATTTAGGGATAGGAACAATATGTCATAAAAGAAAGGAGGTATAGCAATGGGGGTCTACCAACAATGCACAGCCATAATATGGTTGTTACTGATATCTGGTTTAAAAAACAACCTGCTCTCTTTCCCTCCAGCGTGCCACAAAGATCCTGGTGTCGCCATGGGCTGCCGCCCTGCCCGGTGTTACCAGAATTATGAGAACAAGCCCTATCCCAAGTCCCACTTCTACCAAGGTGTCCCTGATGCCAAGATTTGTACCTTTGACCTGGGTCGGAAGAAGGCAATTCCCACTCTGTGGCCACATGGTGTCAGATAAATATGAGCAGCTCTCTTCAAAAGCCCTGGAGGCTGCCCATATTTGTGCCAAAAAGTACATGGTGAAAAGTTGTGGCAAAGACGGCTTTCACATCCGAGTGTGGCTGCAGCCGTTTCATGTCATTCGCATCAACAATGCTGTCGTGTGCTGGGGCTGACAGGATCCAGACGGGGACGTGAGGGGCCTTTGGAAAGCCCCAGGGCACTGTGGGTAGGGTCCACACTGGCCAAGTCATCGTGTCCATCCGCACCAAGCTTCAAAACAAGGAGCATGTGACTGAAGCCCTATGCAGGGCCAAGTTCAAGTTCCCTGAACGCCAGAAGATCCACATCTCCAAGAAGTGAGGCTTCACCAAGTTCAATGTTGAGTCTGAAGACATGGTAGCTGAGAAGCACCTCATCCCAGATGGCTGTGGGGTCAAATACATCCCCAACTGTGGCCCCTTGGACAAGTGGAGGGCCCTGCATTCATGAAGGCCTTGGGTAGCACTGACCTGTGCCCTCCAATAAATTCAATGTCTCCATGTAAAAAAAAAAAAACAACCTGCTATAACTCTGTTGGGGACTCCTGATGTGGTACGGCAGGATCAGCACTGGACTGTGAACCACAAGGTTGGCAGTTCAAACCCACCAACTGCTCCTCTGAAACCCTATACAGAGTTGCTATGAGTCAGAATGGACTCAACAGCACTTAACAACAACAATATAACTATGTTGAGAAGATGGAGGAGGGAGTCAGGAGTGAGAGAGGCATCTACCATGATAACAAATCAACGTTAAGCTATTTAGAAATGATCAAGGGAGCCTGGCAGATCAACGATGAAGTACTCAGCTACTAAGTGACAGGTTGGCAGTTTGAACCTAACCAGGAGGCATTTTCAATGACGTGGTAGTTCTGTGGGACAAAGACCTGGCAATCAGCTTCTGGAAATATTCTTGTTTGTGGTTAAGTGCCGTGGAGTCAGTTCCAACTCACAGTGACTCTGTATAGGGTTTCTGATGAACAGCTGGTGGGTTTGAACTGCTGACTTTGTAGTTCAAACTGACCTTGCTGTCCAGCACATTATCCTGCAGGGCCATACCAGCACCACGAAAACCTTAAGGGACAGTTCTACAGTCACATGGGGTCACTATGAGTCAAAACTGATTTGACAAGACCTAGCAACATCGATATGGATTACATCTCAATGTCAAGAAAACAAAAATCCTCACCACTGGACCAATAAACAACATTCTTATCAACAGAGAAAAGATTGAAGTTGTCAAGGACTTCATTCTTCTTGGATTAACTATCAACACTCACAGAAGCAGCAGTCAAGAGATCAGACGACATATTGCATTAGGCAAATCTGCTGCACAGGAAGGTTTTAAAGTATTGAAGAGCAGAGATGTCAGCTTGAGGACTAAGGTGCGCCTGACCCAAGCCACAGTATTTTCAATAACCTTATATGCATGTGAAAGCTGAACAATGAATAAGGAAGACCACAGGAGAATTGATGCTTTTGAGTTATGGTGTTGGAGGAGAATGTTGAAAGTGCCGTGGGCTGCCAAAAGAACCAACAGATCCGTGTTGGAAGAAGTCCAACCAGAGTGCTTCTTGGAGGCCAGGATGGCCAAACTTCATCTCTCATACTTCAGACATGCTGTCAGGAAGGACCAGTCGCTGGAGAAGGATATCATGTTCGGTAGGTGGAGGGTTAGAGAAAAAGAGGAAGACCCCCGGCAAGATGGAATGGCAAAGTGGGCCATCAATGGGCTCAAGCGTGGCAACAATAGTGAGGTTGGCTCATGATCAGGCAGTGTTCCGTTCTGCTGTGCATAAGGTCACTATGAGTTGGTACCGACTCCACAGCACCTAACAACAACAACAACAACGGAGTCCTGCTATGGTACTTTAGGATAAGCACTGGACTGCTAACCATAAGGCTGGTGGTTCAAACCAGCTGCTCCTCGGAAACCCTATATAGAGCCGCTATGAATTGGAATCAACACAACACTTAACAACAATACTGATCAATCAAGAAACAATCATTTAAGCAGGTTATTTAGAAATATAAGTAGTTCCCGCATTGTGATGAACTGCACTTACTACTGTTCCTTTTTGCTGTTGTTTTTGTACATTTTATCATAAATAATAAGTCCTGGTGTGGTGCTGCAGGTTAATGCGCTGGACTGCAGAGTCGGTAGTTCTCGCTCACTAGTCACTTCTCAAAAACCCTATACAGGGTTGCTATGAATCGGAACTGACTCAACGCCTCTTCGCAACAACAACATTAGGAATAACAAGTTGGAGTCTGTAATTTGCTGATGTTATTATCAGCTTCAGATATTCATTCACTGATGTTCAATTTTGGTTTACTATTTACAATACTGCCGGATTTATAAAGATACTGATAATAAAAAGCAGGGGCAATCAAAACTAAACTATATCAGAACTGACTTATGAAAAAGTTGTTGGAACGGAAACTGACCGTCCTAAGATGGAGACTACCTATGCGGCAGGAACATCCAGAGGAAATACCAGAGTTAAATGTGGTTTATCTTAATGAGCAAGAATCCGGGCTGGAGAAACTAAAGCAAGGAGCTGTTATTTTCTCATTTTGAGCCTTTAAAAATTTCACGACTTGAATTTTCAAATTGCACATGTATCACTTTGATGAAAATAAAAATTCTTCAAATGTCGGCCTCTAGATTTGCTCAGAATGTTAAAGGCAAAGTGAAAATGGTAGATTTTATAAAATATGAAACAAAACTGAAGTTTTTAAAGTGTTTTCTTAAAATAGACACTTTGAAAGTTTTTCTTAATATGGATTTTTCAAAAAGTGTAAGTAAAGGCCCATTCTAGACCAATACCAACCTTTCTTTTATGTAGCAAATATCTCGTAAACTTTGTTATTGTGAATCTAATGAAGATTTACATCTCCTTGGTTTTTAATGAGATGTTGTAGTATATCATACGTAGTAAGATATACCCACTCCTCACCGAGTGACATGGTTAGGTTCCAAAGAGCAGGTGGTTAGGGGAAAATTGGCATTATGCACAAATAGAGGAAAACCACTTCAGATCACAAAATGCAGCATGACCATCATTATGTAACTGCCAAAGCACTGGAAATAATATCCCAGCTGATACTTACTGAACAGATACCAGTGCCAGGCACCATGGGTTACAGGTAGGATGTGCCTTTGGCTGTTTCAGAATAGGGGCTATGACCAAACCAAGTGTTCAAGCCACTGTGATCACATATGGAAATTTTCTGGCTTTGCTGAGGAAAGATGTTGGTCAGTTTCTACACTTACTCTTGAATTATTTTCCTTATTGGAGTAAAAAAAAAAAAAGAGACCTAATTGAAAAAAGATACAAATTCGGACATGACAAATAAACTCCTTACTTATCATAATGACACAACTCACAGAGCTGTCTTATTCAAGACTGAATATTGTCGATATCAACTGCAGGGGGACACAGAGCTGTTTTGAAATCTGAGCCCAGCGCATACCTGGTGGATCTGGAAGACCGAGACCAACGCTGCATGCAGGTAGTCATTCTGAGGCTGCTTGGTGTAGAAAACCTGGATAGGGTGCTGCCGCCCTTCTAGGTAGAGGACGGGGGCGCCGTTGAAATACTGAGAGAAGAGATCCACATCCATCGTGGCTGACATCACAATTACCTACATAAGAGGGCACACACAAGGTGAGAGACAAATGGGGCCAGTCTTTCTGTACCCTGTCACACACAGAAGCAGACAGATGAGTGAGGCTGGTGTCACGTATAACTTCTTCTGTCACAGCTAATGTCCTGTGACCATGCTCTCCCCGCCACTGTTTATAGAATGGCCAAAGGAAAGTGTGTTGAAGATGAAATGAATGATTTCCTCTGTAAATCCAGGGAGCTCGAGTGGTGCAGAGGTTAAACTGCTTGGCTTCTAACCTCAAGGTCAACAGTTTGAACCTACCAAGCTGCTCCAAGGGAAAAAGATGGGACAGTCTGCTTCCATAGAGATTTACAGTCTCAGAAATGTGATTTGGCAGCTCTACTCTGCCCTACAGGGTCACTGAGAGTCAGAATAGACCGTGGGTTTGCTATTTTTGGGTTTCCTTAAATGTGTTATACGTACTTTGAGTGGCAGTTTCCCCAATTCCTTCCGCCGCCTCTGGGCAGTTTTCACCACCCCAAAGAGCACATCTGTATGGATAGTCCGCTCGTGGGCTTCGTCCAGAATGACGCAGCTGTACTTCCGGAGGAGGGAATCTGAGATTGCTTCCCGCAGAAGCATGCCGTCAGTCAGGAACTTGATCCTGGTGTCTTCAGAGGTGACATCATCAAAGCGCACTGTATAACCAACCTGTGGGGAAATCCTCCTTTCATTCACCACACACTGGTGAGCTAGCACATTGTGCGAGGTGCATGCACCATCAGAGAACAAACAGCAACACTGACAGTAACCTAGCACTTGGGGAGCACACAGTCCAGGTGGGGAAACAGACAAGGAACATGTGCTTTTAACAACAGCAGTAATAGCATTACAAAACATTACAACTCACCTACAAAACAACATGTAGGAAGAAGATCAATAAAGAAAACAGAGGACTTGAAGAACGCTATAAACCAACTAGGCCTTACTGAACATTCTACCCAACAATAGCAAAATACACATTATACTCCAGTGCACACAGAACATTCCTTTGGGCAGACCATCTGTTAGACCAAGGCAAGTCTTCATAAATTTGTAAAGATGGAAATGATATAAAGTGTCTTCTCGGCCACAATGAAACTGGAAAATCCTAAGTGGAGGAAAACTGGAAAATGCACAACTATGTGGAACTTGAAATTTATCTACATATCCCAAGCTACTTATTACTTTCATGCAGTTATATAAAGATGGGGAGAGAGTGTCAAGAAGTTTTTAAGGAAAATAAACACTCACACAAAGAAATCTCTTACATATGCCTTGTTGCTGTGAAGTGCCATTGACTCGGTTCCAATTCATAGAAACCCTGTATAGAGTCTGGATCTTGCTTTACACAACCTACATACAAGGAGGCTTAAAAAAAATTCATGAAAAAATCCGATTGAAAGATAACGGAATTTTCCCACAAACTATATTTCTTTAGAAAGAAATGCATTATCTAACAGAAGTTACTGAAGTCTTAACCGTGTTCAAAGAATACAACTCATTTACTCAACTTTCCAAAAAAGATTTGCTGTCGGCTCTCAGGCACTGGTGAAGAACTCTGAGACAGGCCGAAATAACTGTGGCAGGAAAATGCCTTTCCACACATAAAAAGAAGTCTTGGTTCAGGAAAACAGAAGTGTCAGGAGGGCAGGAATGTAGGAGGGTGGAAGACTTGTCTATTTCTGATAGGAAAGAAGAAAATTAGGTACCAGCTTCCCAAGTTCAGTTCTCTTCTCATCTGAGACTCTGGTAGCGAGAGAGATGGCAGCCACTCGACGAGGCTGGGTCACAGCAATGACTCCCTGGCGGTTGATCCCTCCTTCATACAGGTACTGAGGGAGCTGAGTTGTTTTCCCTGAGCCGGTTTCCCCTAGGAAAGAGAAAAGTCTCATTACAATGGAAATTGGAACAAACCAGGAAGCAAACAGATCAAAGTCAGGGGAATCAGATAGCACTTGTCAGCACTGCTGGGGGAACACCAAGAAAACCCTAGGGAACATGGGAACCAACTCCACGGCAACCAACGACAACAGGGACCATCTTCAATGCCCTTTCTTTTCAACACAGCTTCACTTACAAATACCTATCCTATAATATCACTTGTAAAAATAATCAGATATTGCTTTCTAATGAAATCAATACCCTTTAAGTATTTGAGGATGTGAAACAGCAGTAATTGCCTCTAATACTTTTCTGAGATGCCTTTTTCACTTACTAAACTCAGTTGTTAATCAGAATCTCACACTGGTTTCTTTGTGGCATTTGGGGAGTGCGTATTTGAGTGTGTTATTGTTAGATGCCACTGAGTCCATTTTGACTGATAGCAACCCCATGCGGCAGAGCAGAACTGCTCCACAGGGTTTCTTAGATGGTCATCTTTACAGGAGCAGATCTCCAGACTTTTTTCCCCAAAGAGCTGCTGGTAGGTTTGGACTGCTGGCCTTCTGGTTAGCAGGCAAACAGTTAATCATTGTGCCACACCACCACAGCTTCTGACATCCAAGGTTGTTGTGACGTGCCATTGAGTCAGTTCTGACTGATAACAACCTGGTTTCCCTGGAGAGGCTGGTGGGTTTAAACTGACAATCTTTTGGTTGGCAGTCCAGTGCTTATCCTACAATGCCACCCTAGTAGGCCAAGGTTACTAACCAATGAACCAAAAGTGCTCATACTTTGTGTGAGCAGTCCTGAATGGCAGTGGGAACCCTTCAAGTGGGAGTGATGGGAAGGGGGCTTAACCCTCAGGTACCACTAACTCAAAGTCATTTATCACACACAGGGGTGTAGGCTTTAACAGGGAACATAGAAAAAGAAGTAAGCTTAAGTAGCAGAAGGAACCTCTAAGAAATACTTTAACTGACGCTTACTGAACATATACCAGTATTAGGCACTGTTTTGAGCATTTTATGTGCACTGTCTCACAGCATGGATTAATACCCACAACAATCCTTAGCCAAGTACTACTATCACCCTCATTTTAAAGATGAAGAAACTGAGGCTTAAAGGTTAAGTAAATGGTAGTCAGTATTCAAACCCAGGAAGTCTGACTCCAGAACCTGCATTCATTACCACTACCTATTCTGACGAGTTGTGAGATGACATCAAGATTATCATACATGAAAGAAAGCAAAAAGTCATTGAGAAGACAAACTGAAACTTGCTCTCCAGTATAGAGATGCTACTAAAGCAAACGGAAGAAATAAAGAGGTATAAGAGCTGAAAAGAAAATTCCAAAGATCAGCTTGAGAAGATAAAGCAAAATATTACAATAAAATGTGCAAGGATCTAGAGTCAGAAAACAAAAAAGGAAGAACACACTCAACATTTCTCTAGCTAGAGCAACTGAAGAAAAAATTCAAGCCTCGACTTTCATTACTGAAAGATTCTCTGGGCAAATTATTGAATGAGGCAGAAAGAGAAGATGGAAGGAATACACAAAGTCACTGTACCAAAAGGAAATGGTTAATGTTCACCCATTTTAAGAGGTAGCATATGATTAAGAGCCAATGATATTTAGCGAAGAAGTCCAAGATGCACTGAAGGAAATGGCAAAGGAATAGATGGAATAAAAATTGAAATCTTTCAAAAAGTAAGGCGGCACAGGAGGCAC